CAGGGCAGGCAAAGAAGCTTGACGAGGGGGGGGGGTAAGGTGGTGAATGTGTGGTAGTGGTAGTGGTGGGTGGGTGTAGTGTGGATGGCAGCAGGCAAGCCTGGCAGGCATATCAGAGATCTCCCGAAGCAGAGTGCAATGGATGATCGAGCGTCAATCCACTCGATGATCCCTGGGTCGTGGCCCTGATCCTGACCCTGGTCCTGACCGGTCCTGAACTTGGTCCTGACTGTAGGTGGGTAGCCCTGGTCGATGGTCGATGAACGATGGACCGGGGCAAAGGGGGGGGGCGGAGAGAGGAGACAGTTGCCTGTCACAAATTGTGTGGGTCAGCCAGGTCTTGGGATGGTCGACGTTTTGGAGAGCTGGATGAAGGCATGGAACATGGAGTATGGAGCCTGGAGCATGGCATGGAACGTGGAGCATAGAGCTTGGCTAAGCACCACACACTCGCACAATCTCTCTGACTGAGAAGAGTCTGGTGCGTTGCTCGTCCTGGCTTGGTTCCATGTGTGGTCCATGTCTCCTGGCCCGGGGGGCGGGAGGGCACGTACCTTGGCTATAGCGCCTCCTCTTAATGGGTATGGCGTAGGGGACCTCCCCCTCTGACTCGGGGGTTGATGGGATGTACGTACTTACAGCCCACGAAGGGATGGAAGGGGTGACAGGGTGTGTGGGTGTGTGGGTGTGTGCCGTCCTCAAAGATGCACCATCGATGCTCAGGTCAAGGTGAGGAGGGTGCGGGTGCAGATGCAGGTGCAGCAGTGCGTGCCGTGGCGGCGCTGCTGCTGGTCTAGAGGTACGTCGGTACGTAGGTACGATACCTCACTTGCTGGCCGACATGGAAAGTCAAGTATGTGGGATATGTGGGACAGAACCAGTGCTCTGTGTGTTTTGATGTTGATGTGCCAGACGGATGGATGAGTGACAGTGGGACTGACGTCTTGGTGCGTGTGCCGTCTCGTTATGCTCTCGGGAGTCCGGAGGGAGAAGGACGGATGTTGAGATGAGCGTCGGGGATCCCTCGAGATCAAAACGATTCTGTTGTTCATGCGCTATGAGAATTTGCTGCCCTCTGCGCTTTGGATGTGGTCAATGGGGATATGATGTGAAATGATGTGCTGTCTGGTTTCTCGGACAGGGTCAACCGAACCCTGTAGTGTGGACGTGGGGGTTTTATTCTGAAAGA